TACTATTGTTATTAGAAAATTTTAAACTGCATTTGAAACTTGCATTACATCTTGGACTGTGCTGCTCTATACAAATGACAAAATATGATCTAATGTTCCTTTGATGATTTATCACAACCACAAACACTAGATACACAATAAAGCAAGAAAAATCTTGTTTACACTTTGGATACATAGTTTAAGATATTATCAAGTAAGAACGGCATGTTCTTAAAACTAAGTTTATAACCACCTCCAACTGTGTTAATAGAGGAAGGACTCAATCCTACAAGTAGTATTTTAGGGATCCAGAAGGAAATACAAAATAAAAGCCACAAAAGAAGGAGTAAGAGAAATACCATCTGTTTCTAAAAGGTATTTTAAAACAAAAGCAGTATTTTAAATAGCTAATAGATCCTTTAAAAAAAATACGATTTAGCTCAGTGGTTTCGCCACCTGCTGCACAAGCGCAAGGACCCGAGTTTGATCCCTGGTACCAAAAATAAAAAAATAAAAAAATACTCTCTTGGGTCAGAGATTTAGCTCAGTGGTTCTGCTGCCTGCCTCGCAAGTGCAACGTCCCGAGTTCGATCCCCGGTACCAAAAACAAAAAAACACCTCTCATTTTGCATAATTTGATGAAATCTCCACATTACTAGCTAACCAAACCATGAAACTTCTTAACAAACTTCCTAACCTGTTTAAAGTAGACTGGAAACTGTAATCCCATTGAACAGAAGTGAAATGCTGGAATGTATTATATGGAAACATAAGCCCAGTTTCCCACAAGGTATTTATAATTAAAGATTGTACAATGATGAAACCAGCCAACATTTTGATAGATATTACATTGATCAACTATTACAGAATTTAAATAAAACTGCTTTCAAAATTCCAAAACACCACAATACCTTTTCAAAATCTAGCCAGTGACAATTAGGGAGGGAACCGTTGCTAAAGCCTTTCTTGTATTAGTTGAAACTGAAAACGGAAACCCATATTAGCAGTAATAAATATTTGCACGGCACTGTTTGGCAAACACCCTTGGATACATTGTGTCGTTTGATCCTCAGGACTGTCCTCTTAAGTGGGTATGTTTTTATCCCTGCTTTAGAGATAATTCCAGTCTTAGAGACCTTAACTTGTTCAAGGTCACAAAGCTAAAAAGTACACAGCAGAACCAGTATTTAACCCAGGCTCGCCTTCCACGACAAGACAACCATTCAACTAAAACCATGTTTAGAAACCAACACACTTAATGCCAAAGGAGAATCTAAGGATCAACTAGGTCAAACCTTAAGACTCCACAACCAGGCACTGGAATCAGCTGAAAAAGGGAAGAAGAGATTATCAAGACAGAGAGACAGGAAACGACCTGAAAGATCAGACGCAAAGATACATCATCTAAATGTCCTTGGGTGTAGCACAGCAGAATAGTAGAATTCAAACAGAAAATGCAGAGAAACTGCACTTTCCCTCTGGAATGATTTTTCAATGTAGTAGCTGTAGGCTAAAAAAATAATAAAATGATTATGTAGTCACTTTAACTATAAATGTGTCTGAGAATTTTACTTGATTTATAGGGATTCAGAAAACCAATACATCCAACTGGGTACAACCAGCCTCACAATTTTTTATGTCTTGGCATTTACTCCACAAAAAGCAAATTCGAACAATGAGAATACAGCACCTACTGCTATTCAGAGGCAAAGAAAAAGGCAGGGCAAAGGGACGGCAACGCCACAGGCCGGTGTCTTTCTAGAAGGAAGCACCTTTAGGGGAGGACAATGGCATCAGCAGCATTACAGAGCCAGCTCGGCCTCCGGGACACGGGGGTGACAGCCCCGCGGGAACAAGATGCGCCGCCCGCAGGCTGGGAGAGGGGCGCCGAACAGGGGTTTGCGTCCGCGCAGCGCAGCGCCCCGATCGGCGCAGCCGAGGGCGGCTCCGGGCGTGGGAGCGCCACGCGGGAGGCCGCTGCGGCTCCACCGACAGGCAGGGCCGCGCCGCCCGAAGAGCCGTCGCCGGCCGCCCCGGGACCGGGCCCCGACCTAGACCCTCAGAACCAGACCCCGACCGCCCGGAACCCCGAGTCCCCGGAACCCCGACCCTCGCCCCGCGCTGTCAGCCGGCGCCACCCCACCTGCCACCCCGCCCGCCCGCCAGGCCACTTCCTCCCCGCCTGCCCGCCTGCCCCACACGGGGCGGGGGCGGGAGCCGGCGGGCGGGACGCGCGGCCGCGGAGGGAACGCCCGGCTGCCCGCACCCACCGGCATCATCGCGGCGCGGTTCGCGGCGCCCTCGGCTGCCTGACAGGACGCTGGCGCCGCCGCTCCGGTCGCCCTCACAGGCCGCGCGCCAGCCGCCGCGCCCTCCGGCACGGCCGCGGCCAGGTAGCGGCTGCGGAGCCCTCGCCCGCCCTGTGGCGCCGCCGGCGAGCTGCGTCGCCGTCCCAGGACCTGCCGCCGCCGCCGCTGCCGCCTCTGCTGAAGCCAGCCGCCGCCCGCCGGGCTCGCCCCGAGGCCTCGCAGGCCCCGCCCCGCGCGTCGCACCCGCGGTCCTGCCGCCGTCTCTGATTGGTCCGGCCACGGCGGGGGCGGGGAGGGGGCGGGGCTCCCGGCGGCGGCCAGGTGCGAGCGCGCCCGTGCGCGTCCGCGCTCCCGGCGGCATCGGAGGCGCGCGCTGCGGACGCCCGGCCGGGTCTCCGCCCCCGCGTGGCGGCCGCGGAGGAGGGCTGCGGCGTGACGCGGCTCGACACTGCCGTGCCCCGCCTGGGCGCCCAGGTGGCGGAGGCCAGGAGGCCGCACCCCGCCGAGCGGAGGAGGCCGGCAGGTGCTGGCCAGGCCAACCGTGGCGCTAGGGACCTGTGCGGTCCGGGGGCGCTGCCAGGAGGGGTGGCGGGGAGGCCCGGGCTCCCCCGCGCGTGGCCGCGTGGACTTGCAGTCGGGCGCACGGGCTCGGCGCCTCCGCGCCCTGCGCTGGCCCTGGCCCCCGGCCCCTGACATGGACACTGCCTGCCCGGGCTGCTCGGCCGGTGCCAACTCCCGCACGGGAGCTGCCCGTAACTTGTGTTCCGCAGTTGTGCGGTTGTTGGGACGCAGGCTCGGCCCTCGTGGCCCGGAGTTGTTTTGTTGCAGCTCCTAACGCGGGGACGCGTAGATGGCCTGTGATACATCTCTGGGAGCAAGTTTTGATTCTAAGCGGGCGTCAGAGCTCTGGGTTCCAATTCCAGCTCTACTTCTGACTTCCTGCGGGGCCTCAGACAACTTGCACTGCCTCTCAGGGCCCCGTTTCCGTCTGTTAGAGGGGAGGGGCTGGAGCCTCCGATCTTGGAGGGCCTTCCAGCTCTGACACGGTGCCTGCAAAGCAGAAGGCGTTGGCCACTCAGCACAAAAAGGACAGGCCTTGTAGGACTGCGGGAGGTGGCCCCTGCGGGGAGCTGGGCCAGACAAGCCCGCCCCCCGAGAAGGGGAGTCTTGGCCAGGGTCCCCCTCTTGCCTACAGGTCCTGTAGGCTCAGTGGCAGCTGCTTGCCTTCACACATCGAGGCCCATACCCTCAGGCAGCTGTCTGCTCGAGCCAGACTGGCCCTCCTCTCCATCCCGCCAGCTGCACCAGGCACTGGGCCCGTCCACTCCCACCTCCACCAAGGACGTTCACATTGGCCTCTCTGCTCTCACCTCCCCCACACCCCAAACATCACCTCACATGCCTGCCCTCAGTCTTCCTAGAGCACAGCCAGAACTGCGATGCACACGAGCACCTGCGCACACTCAGACCTGCTGAAGCCCTCAGTGTCTCCAAATCACTCAGACCAAAATGCCCAGAGGTCATCGAGAATCGCCATGAATGGTAGGAGGCAGGCACTAGGGCTATGGAAGATGTGCATGTGCTCCAGAGATCTGTCCTAGCTATGTGCAAGTCTGGAATTTCCTTATAACAGTTCAGCAGAGGGGAAGATAGCAAGGCAGTCAGGAAGGCTGAGGTGTAAGTGGCAAGTTCTCCGTTGTTGAATCTGGATGACAGGTACATAGGGGTGCAAGCAGCTCTCTGCTTTGTGTGTTTGAAATATTGTATATTAGAAATGATTGGGCCGGGGGGGCCGGGGATTTAGCTCAGTGGTTTCGCCACCTGCTACGCAAGTGCAAGGACCCGAGTTCAATCCCTGGTACCAAAAATAAATTAAAAAAAAAAAATTAAAAAATAAAAATGATTACTCTTCAAAGCAAATAAAAAGGCCCTAGGGCAGAAAAATCAGTATATATTCATATTGGCATAATGAATTCTGGAATTCTAATAAAGTAACGACTTGCCAGGCATAGTGGCTCATGCCTGTAATCCAAGCACCCTAGGAGGCTGAGGCAGGAGGATCACAAGTTTAAACCCAACCTGGACAATTTAGTGAGACACTGTCTCAAAAAATTAAAAAGGGTTTAAATGGAAAGGTGAACTAGGGAGAGGGGATGGGGAAAGGAAGGAAAGGAAAAGGAAAACAAAGCTTTTGTACATAAGGAGGGGAATGGGAAAGAAAGAAGGGAGATATATCATGAACAGGTGCAAATTCCCTATGATGAATATGATCTTTATGTATATCTAAAATGTATCAATAAAAATTTTAAATGCAAAATTAAAAATGTACCAATAAAATTAATTTTTAAAAGAAAACAAACATTAAAAAGGGCTGGGATATAGCTCAGTTTGGAAGTCCCTGGGCTCAAGCCCCAATATAGCAAAAATAAACAAAGAAGTAATGACTGTAGGTGGGAATGGGAGCTAGGTAGATAAGGGACCGAAATCAGAATGATACTGGGTGTGGTGGCCCACACCTATAATCCCAGCTACTGGGAGGCTGAGGCAGGTGGATCAAAAGTTTGAGGCTAGCCCAGGCAAGTCAGCAAGACCTTGCCCCAAAATTTTAAAAAAAACAATAAAACCTGAGAATATATATACTTGCCTAGAAAAGAAAGAACGAAGGAAGGAATAAATAAATCAGGGTGAGACTTCTATTACTTTTTATTTCTTGCCCTTTTACTTGGAGACAAGGTCTTGCTGTGTTGCCCAGGTTAGCCTTGAACTTGTGATCCTCTTGCCTCAATCACTGTTATTTTAAAAAAAGTTTTTTAGAACAGCTTGACTTACTTATTTTTTTTTTTTTGGTACCGGGGATTGAACTCAGGTCCTTGCGCTTGTGAGACAGGCAGCAGAACCACTGAGCTAAATCCCTAGCCCAACAGCTTGACTTACACAGTAATGGTGAAGATAAAACAGAGAATCCCTGTATACAAATGCTCTTTGGCTTAGGGTATGGGAGCGTTTCTCAGTGAGCCACTGCTGAGTGAATACTGCTCTCTACACCCAACCACCAATCACCCTCCTCCCGAGCCTGAGCTCGCACTGGGGGGTGTGCCGCACCGGCGTGCCCTGGTGAGCACTTGGCTGATTGGAGCTGTGGCCCAGCCTCATGACAGAGCCCTGGACCAAATATTGAGAGGCCAGGAACAGATCAAAATTCAAAACTTGAAGTATGGTTTCTACTGAATGGGCATCTCTTTTGCACCCTGGTAAAGTTGAAAAATCTTCAGCAGGACCTGGTAAATTGGGGCCCTCTGTATATATCCCACCTGGTTCTCCCTCATCATTAACCTTACATTAACAGGGCACATCTGTCAGACTGATGGCCAACATTAAGGCATTGCCATTAAGGTTCACCAAAGTCCATGCTATTATGAGATTTCTGTCCCGGGACCCATCTTACCTTTAGTCACTGTCTCTCCTTTGGCTCCTCTTGGCCCGAAAGTTTCTCAGACTTCCCTGTCTCCTATGCCTTTGACAGTTTTGAGAAGTGCCGCTCAGTTGTGCTGTAGAATACCCCTCATCTGAGGTTTACACGCTGTTATCTCCTGGTCAGAGCCAGGTTAGAGGCTGTTTGGAGGAGACCACACAGGTGACTACCGCAGTAGTCACAGCACAGCACAGCACAGCAAGGCCACATGCTGGCAGCAGGAGTCTTTCGGGGATGGTGTTGACCTTTATCGCGTGCTCACTATTGCACTTTACAGGTTTTGGGGGGAGGTTGTTTGTTTGTTTGTTTTAAAACAAAACAGTTCAAGGCTGGCCTTGAGCTGGCTACATAGCAAAGCTCCCAGCAATCCTCCTGTTTCAGCCTCCCAAGTGCTGGCATTCCAGGTGTCCACCACCACAGCTGGTTGATTTTTAATCAGGTAAATATATTACTCTATTAAAATAAAATATAAAAAATTAAATACCTATATGAGTTTACTAGGGCCACCATAACAAAATCCCACAGACAGAGGCTTTTCTCACCGTTTTGGAAGCCGGAAGGCCAAGGCCAAGACACGGGCAGGGTGGCTCTTGTGAGGCCTCTCTGTGAGCTTACACATGGCTGCCCCTTGCTGGCTCTTCACCTAGTGTTTTTTCTGTGTGTGAATATTCTCTCTCTCTCTCTCTCTCTCTCTCTCTCTCTCTCTCTCTCTCTCAGCATTGAACCCAGGGCCTCCTTTTTTTTCACTTTTCATTTTCAGACAAGGTCTTGCTACATCACCAACTTGCCCAAGCTGAGCTTAAACTTGTGACCCTCCTGCCTCAGCCTCCCAGAGTGGTCTCTTTCTTTCTGTGGGACAGCATTCATATTGAATAGGGCCCAGCACAGGACCTCCCTCAACCCTGATGTCCTGCCTAAAGGCTGTGCCTGCAAATGCGGACACATTCAGAGGTGTCCTGGGGCTTCGACTTCAATGTACAGATTGAGGGTGGGGCCAAGACCTTTCCTAGCAGCTCCAGCCCATCCTTTCGGGTTTGCTCCCAGGCCGCCAGCAACCTGCTGCTAGACCTGGCTCCCAGCTGCCCCGAGCCCGCCCCTCCTCCTCCAAGTCTTTCCTTACCTACCGCCCTGTGCTGATGAAGCACTCGGCCTGTCCCTGTTCTGATTACAAAGCAAACCTTTCTGCAAGGGTGCCCTGGATCCCCTGGGGAGAACTCATCTCATCATCTTCTCTGGCTGCTGAGCCCATCCGGTGGCGGGGGCCGGCGGATGGCTCGTCAGCAGCTGCCTCTCTCGTGGGTTTCTCCTGTGTGCCAGGCCTGGCGACAGATGAGGTGCCTGTCCTCACCGAGTTTGCTTTCTGCTCAGGGGAGAAGATGATAAACAAGAACGGAAGTGTGACAGTGTATTTAAGCGAGAAAGCCAGATAGCGTGACAGAGACAGCTGCTTTGGCCAGAAGAAAGTGGCATTGAAGCTGAGACCTGAATTCCAAGGGGGCAGCTCTGAGAGGCTCCGGGGAAAGGCGAGGAGGGAGGCCTGGGGGCTCTCGGCTTGCGGTTTGCGGCTTCAGTGGAGTGGCCAGGGGAGGCGAGATGGGCTCAGGTTTGGGTTTCTGGAGCGGCCAGTGCGGCTTTCGTCCTGGTCCATTTCCAGTGTCCAGTGTCCAGTGTCCAGTGTGGGGCTGGCCGGCCCTTGCAGGAGTAGAGGGTGGAAATGGGAACAGGACGCCTTCCGGGGTGGGTTAGGGTTCAGCTCAAGACGGCCCGAGAGCGCCCGGGGCCAGGCTTCCTGGGGCTCGGGTCCACGCAGAGGTGGCATGGCGTGCCCTGGGGGTCACCTCCCTCCCTGCTCCCCCTGCGCTCTCACGGCTCCGATCCGGCCTGCAGTCCTGCCTGGGAGCCAGCCCCTCCGGACCGAAACCTGGGCCAGAATAAACCTCTCCTTTCCTCAGTCGTGGGTGTCGCGTATTTTGTCCGAGCGACGAGAAAGGGACTAAGACAGTGGGACTTGCGGGGGGGGCTCACGATGAGCCCCGAGCTCCCGCCCGGGGCCCCTCGCCTGCTGCCCGCAGAGGGCCCCACGTCAGGGCTCCCCTCCTTCGGCCTAGCCTCACCGCGGCCTGCAGCCTGGCCTCCCGCAGCCCCGGGAAGGGCTCCGCGAGGCCTCCCGCCCCTTCCCGGCTGTCGCCCGGTCCGGGCTGGGCTGGGCTGCGCGACCCGGCGCGAGGAGCGGGGGCCTAACGAATGCGGGTGGGGCTCGTTCCCGCCTCGCCCCAGAAAGCACGACGGGAGCCCCACCGCCCCGCGGGCCGCAGCGTCCGCGAGAGTCCTCCGAGGCCGGGAGGCTTTGGCCCTCACCCAGAACCGCGGACCCAAGACCGGTGGGAAGTGAGCTCGTGAGCTCGGGCTCCGCCCAGGGACGGGGCCTCCAGAGTGTGAACCGGGTTCTCTCCCTCTTGGGATTGGCCTGGGGCCCCAGGTGGAGAGAGAGGGGCCGGCTGGGCTCGGACTCTCCGCCTGTCCATCTGTCCATCCACCTGTGCATCCACCCGTCCGTCCATCTATTCATCCATCCACCCATCTCCATCCATCCGTCCATCCATCCTGCCCTTTTCTATGCCCCAAGGCCAAGCAGGAGGGTAGAAGGGGTCCTGGCCTCTGCCCACCGCAGAGTGGCTTTCAGCGGGTGGTCCTTTCCGCCTCTGGGCCCGTGCTCTCACCGGGCACCTGACCTGCCAGGCCTGTTTGGGGTTTCCCCAGTGTCTTCTGACCCCCACCGGTAGCTGTGCCAGTCACCTCCCCTCCCCCTCGCTGTCTGCCGGTCAGGTGACTCAGTAACCCTGTTATTCATGAAGCTGTCACATCTGTCAGGGTCCCCGGGAAACAGATGGCTTCCGCAAAACAGGGAAATTCCAGGAGTGTTATTTACAGAAGGGGGCAGGGAGTGCCAGGACAGCCAGGGATCTGGGACCTGCTCTTGAGGGGCTGGAGAGAAGGGGCAGGGGGCCTCCAGGCAGGGAAAGAGAACCGCTATCAAGAAGAGGCCTGGCCTAGGCAGCCATGACATCTGGTCAAGCCCCACGGCCCTTTGGAGGCCAGCCCACAGGGGAAGTCGGCTATGTTCTCCTCGCACCCCTGGCCTGGCTCTGACCTCCTGCTGGGACGCCTCCCAGGGCCGCTGGGTTAGAAGAACTTGTGGGGTGCAGGCTTGACCCCTAGCACAGGGGTGGCAGGAGACGCCTGTGGAAATGTTTTTCTTCTTTGTAGGGGATTTCTGAAAGACAGGCTCCCACAAGTGAATTCCCGAGCCACAGCCCTCTTGGCTCCTAAAAGCAACTGCATTTTTAAAAGCCAGGTGTGACGGTACGTGTACTTGCCTGTTGTCCCAGCTACTGAGGAGGCTGAGGCAGGAGGATCACAAGTCCAAGCCCAACCTGGGCAATTTAGTGAGACCCTGTCTCAACATAAAAAAGGCCTGGGGATGTAGAGAGCCGTGGCCAGCCCATTAACTCTTTCCGGTCCTCAGCCCAGCCCTTCTGGTTTCCTCAGAAGGCTCCAGGCTCTGTCCCACCCCACTCTGCCTCTTGGTGGTCCCCTTGCTGGCCCGTGTCTCCTGGACTCTCAGACCTGTGCTCTCCAGTCACAGGTGCCCACTGCACCAGAAGAAACTAAGACTGGGAGCAGGGCTTGACATGTGCACTGGCCGCCAGCCCTGCTCCATCCACTCCTGCTCACCGCAGGCTTCCATCCTGAGGACGTGCCCTTCAGCACCCCAAGCTGTGGCGCTCTTTTATCTTCTGTCTTGTTCATAAAACCCGCTCACAGACTCTTGGGCCTCCCAGCAGTTCCTGCTGAGGGTTTCTGCCCTGGTTCATCTGGGGAGTGCTTTCCAGATAGCTGAGCCGAGGCTGCCTGAGTGCCCCTTAATTTATTTTTCATGTTGAAATTTAACCTTGAGTTTAAAATATGTCATTGTGTTGTTCCCAGGTGTTTCAACAGATTTTATCTCGGTTGCCACCACTCTGACCCTGTGAAGGAGATAACTGGCCCCTCGGTAATGAGGAGGAGATGCAGGCCTTGGTGGCCCTGGCCAAGATTCAAGTCCAGCCCTGCCTGTAAATCCTGCAAGCTCCATAATGCATGGATGCTACATTGTCCTGAGTTCAGGACCCATTTTGCAACAACTACTTGGATATTTTGTAGCAAGAAGTGATCAAATGTGTGACCAGCTCCTGTGATCTTGCAGGGGGGCGGGGATAGAACCCAGATACTTACTTCCCCAGGGCATTGTGAGCAACTTACATTTCGGTGCCTGTTTGCTCATCGGTAAAGCAGGGATAGCAACAGTACCCACCTCAAGGGTTTTTGTCGGAACTACAGAAAAGGCAGGGTGAGGCCCCCGAGAAAGTTACACAGGCATTTACTGTGCCCCACCTCGGGGAGGCTCCCGGGTCCCTTCATGCATCCACGCCCTGCAGCCTTGGTGCTGGGACATCGGGCGGACCTGAGATGCCCACCATCCCCACAGCTGCATCTTCTTCCAAGCAGGAACAAGGTGACCCGTCACCGTTGGCAACCCCAGAGACGACACCCGGTGGCGGGGCTGGTGCTCTTGGAGTTTGGAGACAATGAAACTGACTGCAGTGCTTTGTACCAGGTACCTGCGCTGACACAGGGGGCAGGGGGTCGTGGCTTGCAGGGACCCTGAGGATAAGTCGGACTTAGACTGGACCGGGAGGCCCTGAGGGGGTAAACACACTCCAGGCCATGTGAGGGCTTTGCCGGAGAAGGTAAGCCTTGGACAGTGGGCCGGAATCTATGCTCACACTTGCACACACACGGCACGTATGCCCCACACACATGCACACACTAGTGTAGGTTACAGCTTACCACTTGCTTCTTGTCTCCTCCAGATAGGCTTCTAATGTTCTTTACTTGTAACATAGTAATCGCATCTAAATTCCAACTCAAAAATTCAGATACAAAAATAGTTGTTTGGACAAAATACTTTTCTTTTGTTTAAAATTTATTCATATTTTAATCAAAATAATCCATGTACTTGATTTAAAAAAAATTATTCTAGGGCCGGGGGTTTAGCTCAGTGGCTCCGTGGCTGCTGGCAAGCACAAGGTCCTGAGTTTGATCCCCAGTCCTGGAAAAAAAAAGAAAAAAGAAAACAAAATTCTAACAGGCCATATTCCAGAGCAGTTTTAGGCTAACAGCAAAACTGAGGGGAAGGTATAGAGATTTCCCACGTCTCTGCTGTCCCCAGAATACACGGCCTCCCCATTCTCAAGAGCCCTGCCACAGTGGCGATTTGTCATGGTGGCTGAGTCTGTTCGGACACATCACGGTCACCCACAGTCCATGGTTTACCTGACGGGCCACTCTTCGCGTTGAGCGTCCTGTGGGTTTGCACACATGTGCAAAAGACATGGCCACCTGATCCCTTTACTTTCTTCATGGTTTTGCCCTTCCCAGAATGGGCCCTTTTCAGCTGGGCTTTATTTACTTAGCAACATACATGAAAGTGTCCTCTAGCTTTCAACTCACTATGTAGTGCAGGTTGGCCTCAGACTTCTGGTGATCCTCCTGCCTCAGCCTCCCCAGGGCTGGGACTACAGGCATGAGCCACTGAACCCGCTGTTCATTGCTGATTGTGTACAGACTCTTTTGTTCTAGCAAGTGTTGTTCGTGCACATTAGCTCACAGGCAGTTGGTAAACAGGGCACAAGGGCAGTGCCAATGGGAAGTGGTGATGCTCACACACACTTTTCCTTGGGTGTTTGGAGGTCCACAGGTGCCAGCAGAAGCCCCCTTCCCATAGACCCACTCTGCAACCCTCCCATTGGTCCTGGAGAGGGTGAAGGAGCAGATGAGGAAGGTGTGTAGATGTCCCTGTGCCCAACCCATCCCGCGCTGAAATATTGTGGGAAACATTGTATGTGGTTTTTTTAAATTCTTTTATCGGTACATTTTAGGTATACAATACATTTACATTTATCATTGGGTGCTTGTACCTGTACATGATGTATCTTGG